TGTTGTTCCGAAATGGCTAACAGAATGAAATAAAACTAGTGTTAATAACCGATGTTTACGGTGTGTGTGCGTGTGTGTGTGTGCGCGCGCGCGTACGTATGTCCATTTTAATTTTCTGCACACAAAAGGAGACTGGATGGAGTGAAACGACCAGGTGCCATTTGTTGTTTTTATTCGTTAAAGTTCATTTTCCGTGGGCATTAGTAAACACGACAAGCAATACTACGAAGAAAAAGTACTAATCGAATAGAAATCACTTACGATACGATTTTGTTTTGGGTTTCTTTGGAAGAGCTAGGACAGCGCCTTCCTAGAAGGACTTTGCAATTAGCCATAAGAGATTGTTGCCAAGCGCAGATGACCTTCCTGACCTCAGACGATACGCTCAGACCTAATAACGAAATATTTTGGTCAGTGACATCAAATAAAAAGAAAATTTGAGAAAGAAATACGTCACTCTAGAGAAAAAAAATAAAAAAAATATATACCAAGACCTGGAAGAATAAAAGCATACAGAGACCAAAAGAATTTGAAATGTAACAGAAGGAAGAGGGAAGCACAGTAACACCTCGCCCCGGTATGTAAGTGCGAGCTTCCACGCCCAGTCCAATTCTCGCTCCCAGTTCTGCAGAAATGAAGGTAGTGGACACGCCCAGAAATAGAGATATTTTTCTCCTGTGTATAGAGGCAAATCGCTTGGTTTGCCCTTTTGGTGGCTGTAGCGTCGGCGATTCCCCAAGAAGGCTACAACTACCAGGCACCAGGAGGTCAGGGATCCCAGTTCCCGACCGGGGCGGGAGGGGCACAGTACCCCTCCGTGCCCGCCCAGTACGCCTTCCAGTGGGACGTGAACCATGAGCCCTCAGGGAATTTTTACGGCGACAAAGAGGAGAGGGAAGACGCCAACACTTAGGGAAGGTGAGTTCATATTATACGCTCTCATTCCTGCTGGTCTTGTTACTTTTTCCCATTTCGAAATGTATTTGATGAGAAAATCGTCTTCAACAGTTACTACATTCAGCTGCCCGACGGTCGACGTCTTCTGGTCGAGTACTACGTGGACGCCTCCGGTTACCATCCCACTGTCACCTTCGAGGGAGAGGCGCAGTATCCTTCAGGAGGGAATCGGGGACACGGCCAATCCGCTCAGGGATCAAGTACTGTAGACTGAGAAATAGCTGTACAAGCAATGGCGCTATTGCTGTCATAGTTTTTAAAGGCCAAATTCCATTGAGTAATTGCAGGTAACTTTTAGATCAGTTGCAAGGAAATGGTCCTATATATACTAATAAACATATATACTTAAATGATATATGTTATGTATACATATTTATATATGATGTATATGACATATATCTATATATATGTGTGTGTGTGGATATTTGTATATATACGTATGTATACAAATATAAAATGTATGTTGTATATGTATGCACATATATACATTATGTATATAACATATGTATATAGACATGTGTATATATGGTTAACACACACATATGTATATATAATATATATAATATATATATATATATATATATATATATATATATATACATGAAAATAGCCACAGTGAGAATTGAAAACAATTGTAAAGTTTCGAACTCTTCACAAGTTCCTTTTCAGACAAAACCGAAGTCGGTTTTATTTATGTACATGGAATATGTGTCTATATACATACTTATATATATACGATAAATGAATGTGTGTATACATATGTATCGAACAGGTAAACGAACGAAGAGATAGAGATAGAAAACATGGCATGGATTAACAGAGAAGAGAAAACGAACTTAACGGAAAGTGAAAAGAAAGAGAGGAGACAAATTTATGGTCAATATTCAACTTTGATTAATGTCAAATTATAAGTAATATTATATGAACATGAACTGTGAATTACCATGAACAACGTCTGTTAGATGCAGTTATAATGAAGATGAACATCAGCAATAAGCATGATGATGTTGATACTAGTTGCGGTTATGATTTTGATGGTCATTAAAAATTTTTATAATCATAACCATCATTAGTTTAAATAAAAAAAAATCATCCATGTTATGATCATAATAATAAAGATAATAAGAGTAATTATTATCATTATCATTATTATTATTATTTTACCTTTCGATAATATTTCTCCAAACTATACTATAGTATGGCATTGTTATCGCATTACGTTTTTCATTAAATATATCATTATCGTCTCTGTAACAGATGAATGAAAGAGATTTAATGATGAAAATAAATATGATGACTCTGCTCAATTGACGAGTTACCGATTTTTTATTTATTTATTATTTTTGGGTGGAAATTAGTATAGATTGGCGTATTTTTTTCGGCTGCAACTTAGGGTTAAAAGTTTCGTCATACTTACTGAACTTCAACTTCTCACAGACTGGATGAGTGATTTTGTCCTTAATTATTAAGAAGTAAACGATGAAAAATGAAAATGTTTTATATATAAGAAAAAATGGATGAATTTTAATAATTGCAGGTATAGAAAAACATTGCTATAGAGAATATCCACCTTGGGAATACACACATACATGAATACATAAATGTATGTATTCATATATAAATAAAGACACATAAATATGAATACATACATACACACACACACACACATATATATATATATATATATATATATATATATATATATATATATGTATATATATTATATATTATATATATTATATATATATATATATATATATATATGTATATATGTATGTATGTATATATATTTATGCATGTATGTATGTATGTGTGTATGTATCTATCTCTGTCTATATACCTACCGCATGTTAATGTGGATGTGTGAAAAAATAAACAGGAAAAGAAAAGTAAGAGACAATCACTCCGTCTGCAATTTGAGCGTCATATAAAAGCGAGCTTCCTCGTCCAGCTGTCAGTTGTCACCAAATTCTTGACAGAAGCGGAGATGAAGGTTAAAAACAAAGTCAGAATGAAGCTGTTACCATAATCAGTTAATGTTTTCTTGATCATATATTACCTACTGAATATTACAACAGGTATCCACTGTGTTTGCCCTTTTGGTGGCTGTGGCGTCGGCGATTCCTCAGGAAGGCTACAACTACCAGGCGCCAGGAGGTCAGGGATCCCAGTTCCCGACCGGGGCGGGAGGGGCACAGTACCCCTCCGTGCCCGCCCAGTACGCCTTCCAGTGGGACGTGAACCATGCGCCCTCAGGGAACTTCTACGGCCACAAAGAGCAGAGGGAAGATGCCAACACTCAGGGAAGGTGAGTCACCATTACTCATTAGTTGTTTTCGTTGCCTGATATATCGTTCTTATCATTAAGTCATGTTTGCACTTAAGGAAGATGTTACCATGCATCGATAGTGTTGCTAGTGATTTCATTGTTTAAAACGAACATCAATATATTTTTTTTATAAACATTTGCGTCGCCTACTTTGTCTAGTAAGATTGAAACTAAAGTGAACTAAAGTGTCTTTCCTTACCTATTACAGTTACTACGTCCAGCTGCCCGATGGTCGACGTCTTCTGGTCGAGTACTACGTGGACGCCTCCGGTTACCATCCCACCGTCACCTTCGAGGGAGAGGCGCAGTATCCTTCAGGAGGGAATCGGGGATATGGCCAGTCCGGTCAGGGGTCGAGCCAAGGTTCTCCTTCGCAGTTATATGGTACCCCATCTAAATAGGAGTATATAATGCAATACATACATCTATTATTATTAAGTTGAACTACTTCCGTTAAATTTATTTGACCAATAAAAATGTTACTTAGCAAGAATCTTACTTCTCCTGTTATGACGATAGAGGTACTATGAAAAGAGGAAATGACCAACAGGAACTGAAACTAAGGCCATTGACAGTCCTTCACAGAACATATATGTATACACAAATATGTCTACGCACATACGCTAACATATATGAGTGTGTGGATACTGTATAAATTTATGTGTGTGTGAGTGTGTGTGCGTCGATGTGCATCAGTCAGTCTGTCTATACAGTTCATATACCGCAACCAAAGTAAAATGAAAATTCAAAGAATTCGATTATATTGCCCACCCAAGAAGTCGATTTAGATTATTTTCCGTTTGTTTTATTGATTATCCTAATTCCGATGATAAGTTAATAGCGAAAAGTGAGGTTTCTCTGGCGTTCTAATATGGGAAGGGAGACCGATATTCATCTTCGAATGCTATGTAGTTAGGGAATCAGAGTCGGTTCCCTTAGGGCCGTTTTGCACGAATGGCATTCAGCGACGCTCGATCCTTTCCTCTTATCGGCTCTAGTGTTTTTTTTCTTTAATCCGCGTATGTCTCGAACTTTTCGATAGTAAAATTGATATCTCTAAGGTGTGTTGTTTCCCTTACGAGTTACTGATTCCTCAAATGCTGGTCTAGATTTGTAATGTTTGGTAGAGATTTGTAAATTATGACTACAATTAATAATTATTACCAACCTACATCACACAGAAAGTTAATCGTTAAGTTGTGTAGGAGTATAACGCATCACACACACACACACACACACACCACACCACACACACACACACACACACACATATATATATTATATATATATATATATATATATATATATATATATACACACACACACAATATATATATATATATATATATATATATATATATATATATATATATATATTCTACCCCCGTTGCCCATAAACTCCTTAAAGGTTCTGCTAAGAATTATGATATTCTCAAGTCATCATCATGATTCCAAGGATCTCTTACTACAGTGTCTATATTTTTTGCTGAATTCTAACAATTTCTTTCAATTCCCACCCTCCCAAGACAACGAATTTCCGTCAACTCGACCTCAAGAAGACTCAAATGTGCCATCATCCATGTGTGCGTCATGCATGCTTAACCCAGGAAGCGTTGAGCAATTTCCTGAATAGTTTGAGATTGCGCGGTTGACTCTCAGACTGCAACGGAAAAACTGATTGAACGTGTGGTTATCACAGACTAATGTTCACAGA